GAAGATCATTTTGAGGAAACACAATTTACAAGCAGTTTAAAAACAAAACTGTTGAATAATGCAGCGCCTTTCAATGCCAATGTTCATAATCAAATTTTGCCTATACCTGCACATTCTTCTGAAGAAATTTCTGTTTCAAATGTACACATTCATAGTAATGTTCAAATAGTTTCTCCAAAATTATCCTCCATTAATAACCCAGTCAATAATAAACAGTCAATTTCCAGTCAGTATGATAATGAGTATGATACACCACCATCTAAACGTAAACGATTGCATATTTTAAAAGAAATTAATGAAAATAGAGTAAAAGATCTTTCTTCTAAAAAGAAAAAGTTATATTTTTTAAATTGAACTCATAGAAATTCTATTTGTAAATTAAAAAACTCTATAAAAGTTACTAAACAGAAATTAAAATTTGCATATGAGTTTTCTAAAGGTGAAAGGTTTAGGGAATTAGAAGATAATATGGACCCTTCAATTGCATCATTTTTTAAAAGTGCTTTTTCAAATTGTAAAGTTAAAAGGCCTACTTGGACAATACGTGATAAGGTATATGCTTTGGCTTTGTACAAAAGGGGTCCTAGATGTTACAGATTTTTGAAACGTAGTATACCATTACCAGCTAAAAGTACCCTTCAGAAACTCTTAACGAATGTTCCTTTTGCAGCTGGAATAGATATCCAGTTATTAAAGAAACTTTCTAAAAGAGTAAAAACCATGAGACCATTAGATAGGTATTGTTCCTTAGTTTTTGATGAAATATCACTGGCTATTTTGATGAAATACCATTACCTGATACAGATGTTACAGGTCATGGTGGCAACACATTAGCATATGTTGGTGGGTATATAACAAGAAAAATTAAAATAATTCAAGAATGTGAGCTGTGTGCAGCTAATTTAATATCTGATGTTTTAGAACCACATCATACATTTACAATGTTTAAAGAATATAGTGATAAGAAATCAAGTTTAGCTTATGTAACAAAAATTTTTATAATAGATTTAACCAAATTCATGATATTGTAATTGATGTATTAGTCAATAATGGACATATAAACCATTTGTCCAAAAAAATTAAAATTTTGATAAAAAAGTATGTAACTCTGGAGTGGTTTACTTGTAACCAACATTTGGATTATGTGTTTAATTATTTTCTAGATGTGTTTGTAGACTTAATAATTAGGAAATATTATGATGATGTTTATAGAAGTTATCGAGATTTGCAGAAAAATGATTTACAAAAAAAGAAAATTAATAAGATGAAGCATTTATAATTTTATTTAGCCTATTTTTCTAAACTCTTCTCCATTTCTTTATTTAAATAAACTATTTTTTTACAACATTGATTTTCTTTTAATATGCTTTGGTACTTCAGTCAAATAGTTAATGGTAAATTTTATATGTTATATCGATTTGTTTATCACCTAAAAGTATTTTACTTTATTGTAAGAGTTGTTATTTTTAAGAGTATTTATTTTAGCTTTAGTAAAGTTCTCTGTATATTGTGTAATATTTTTCTTTGAATATTTTTAGACTACCTACTAATCAAATTTGTAATATCTGCATTTTGTAAAATATAAGATAAATAAAGAAGAGCAGGGACATGCATGCATTTTGTGTTGATCTGTGTTTTATATCTCAAAACTTTATATTTCAAAACAATTGTTCTGTATATGTTTTTCTATTTTGTTTTATCAGCACTCCATACATGCATGCGGAAAGTGGGGGGTCCCTGTGAGGATTAATAAAAATAAAACATGTGTAGTTTTTTTTTCCAGTGTTCATGTCCCCTATTTTTCTGAAAATTTATGAGGAAAATATCGATGGCTTAGCATCGAGAAATCCTTCTATCTCATTTTACAGATAATTTTACAGGAGAGACTTTAAACTGAACTTTTGCATACTCTAACCTAAAAACAACAAATAAAATTTACATATTTGATTCTGAACATATATTTAGATCGTTACACATAATTTTTCACATATATTTTAGGTTAGAGTATGAGGAAATTCAGTTTAAAGTCTTTCCTGTAAAATTATCTGTAAACTGAGATTCTTTACTGAAATATAATAATTTTAAATATCCCGCGTTCCATTTTCTGGCCGTTTAGTTGAGTAAGTAGTTCATCAGGTCGCTAGCATCGAGTGTGCCAGTTTAATGTATGCAACCAAGCACTCTCTTATTTGTTATTTCTCTATGGGGCAAACATATTGTTAGACAGGAAGTGCGATCTTTAGAGGCCACATTAAACAAGGAAAGAGAGTCTCTCTCCTTGTTTGACATCAAATTTAGTTGGGTTATGTTATTGTTTGTCCCAAATGTCACATGAAATCTTATTTATATTGAAGTTTTTTAACAATTGTGTCGCATTTTAGACTCTTATCATTAATAATTAATTAAAACTTTCTCGTCTAAGACACATTCTGAAAAATATTATATAGCTACTGTTGATAAGTGTCGGAAAATTTAAATTTGGCGCATTCGCATTTCCGGATATGTCCGCCATCAGAGGCCACTTTTTTGGTCTCCTTTTCATAAGGATTAGATTCCCTCTTTTATCTTATTGCTCGATGACTGTGACCCAACTACCCAACCACCCCAACCAAGCTTTTATATGACATTTAACATTAACATCATGATATAAGGAAACAAGGTATGCTCACTAGGTGGACTCGTTTTTGCACATTTCTGCGCCGACCAAAATCCACCATCTTTTCAATATGTCACATGTGTGTAGGGATGGTGACCTGATCCCGTACCAGTTACTTTGGAACATGTATTTTATTTATACTTGTGGAACTGATCCCTAACGCCAATATATTATAAAAAACGAGTACGGGTCATGGCCGTATAAATAAAGATCTTTATTTATACGTCCATGGTACGGGTACTCTACTCATAGTAAGTGTAAGTGAGCATATCTGACCTGATCCACAAAAATACTTGGATCAACCACCTCTACATGCGTGACGTCTGCTTTGTTTACTTTTGCATTTTTTAACCTTACTTTGCAATGTACTGGAATTTAAATGTAAATGTGTTTTTGTTTTGTTTCGATTTTTTAAAAATTATTTTAGCAAGAGTCTGTTCAGATCATTTTAAATATGAATTAATTGGATTAATGTATAATATTAATTTTATTTTATTTTATTTAACTACGATATTTCGTATCAATTTTGTACATATTTGAATTGCCGCCTTCAATATGGCGGATTTTGGTCGTAAACGTGATTGGCTGTTCAAAATAGATGCGCGTGAGCATACCATGTTTCCTTATATCATGATTAACATACACTTAAATGGTGTCAGAGTTGCCAAGTCTCCAGTTTTTTCATACTCTCACGTAATATTATCATCGAGCAAAAAGATAAAAGAGGGAATCTAATCGTTATGAAAAGGAGACCAAAAAAGTGGCCTCTGATGGCGGACATATCCGGAAATGCAAAGGCGCTAAATTTAAATTTTCCAACACTTATTAACAATAGCTATAAAGTATTTTTCAGACGAGAAAGTTTTAATTAAATATTAACTATAATAGTCTAAAAAGTGACACAATTGGTAAAAGATTTCAATATAAATAAAATTTCATGTGACAGTTGGGACAAACAATAACATAACCTAACTAAATTTGACTTCTTAAACAAGGAAAGAGACTGTCTATCCTTGTCTAAAGTGGCCTCTCAAGATGGCACTTCCTGTCTATCAATATGTTTACCCCCACTACCTTTACTTTCCCTCTTTTGTCTTATTGCTCGATGAATATTATACAAATGTTGATTAAAGTGATATAAAAAGATAGTATAGATTTTAGTTAAATTAAAGATAATAATCAAATGCATATACAATAAAATTGATTAAAATGATATAAAAAATTGATAGTATTAATTAAATTACCGTATATAATAGAAATGCTTTTACATTTTTAACCTGGCCGTGGTTATAAATAAATACCCTTTTAACGGTCGCCCATAAGAAACTTAGGAAATATACAATTTATGATTCACAAGTGTCATTGTAGCGGGTTGACCATTCGCACCTAATAATAAGGTCCTAATAGATAAGATTTGGAAAGTGCTAATTTACAATATTTAACTGCATTTAAAGCATCGAGCAATAAGACAAAAGAGGGAATCTAATCCTTATGAAAAGGAGACCAAAAAAGTGGCCTCTGATGGCGGACATATCCGGAAATGCGAATGCGCGAAATTTAAATTTTCCGACACTTATCAACAGTAGCTATATAATATTTTTCAGAATGTGTCTTAGACAAGAAAGTTTTAATTAATTATTAGTGATAAGAGTCTAAAATGCGACACAATTGTTAAAAAAACTTCAATATAAATAAGATTTCATGTGACATTTGGGACAAACAATAACATAACCAAACTAAATTTGATGTCAAACAAGGAGAGAGACTCTCTTTCCTTGTTTAATGTGGCCTCTAAAGATCGCACTTCCTGTCTAACAATATGTTTGCCCCCACTACCTTTACATTCCCTCTATTGTCTATTTGCTCGATGATTTAAAGTAACAGAAAATATTTGTTTTATACTTATTTAAAACTTGTAGCTTCTCATAATACAAATTATAATTTTGTAAAAGTAACTTATATTTTAAACCTTCATATACATTTTACAAAAAAAATACGGCAAGTTTTATACTTATTTAAAATATGTAGCTTTTTATAACACAAATTATTATTTCGTAAAAGTAACTTCATATTTGTAGCATTCATATACATATTTTACTAAAATAAATACGGCAACACTGTGACGCAGTGCCTTGAGCACAGTACTGTGGCCTTGAGTGAGGAAAATATATTTGGTTGGTTAGGTTTTAGGTTAGAGTGCCTGTTTATGCGTAACGCCCGTAAATTCTATATTCTTCATTCTTCGGTACTGTTCATTGTACCATGAGTGTATCATAAATATAATAAGCAATTTCACTTTTGTGTGTAAAATTATTATTGAAATCCAAAAATCAAGTGTAATCAAATGGAAGTAAAACAAGAAATCAGTAAAGAGATATGTAAAGTAGAAATAGAGTATAATGACTTGGATGGTGCTGTTCTGGATGACTATAAATGTGAAATTAAGAAGCAATCCAATAGGGAAACACATTTCACATATGATCACATTGACTTAAAGGAATGTCCCATACATACTGAAATAGAATATGTAAATAAAGTTAACCCATTTGAAGAAAACCAAAAAACTGAAAAAAGTTAGTAACAATTTACTTGGTGTTTCTCTCTTATTTAGAAGTAGTGTAAATAGGAATAAATATTTTACCAGCTAATATAATATAATAATAATAATATAATATACCAGCTTGATTTTAAATACAAATTAATGGCAATAACTTAGGGATCAGGGACTTTTTGAGGATTTGTTCAAAAAATACAAATTGGAAACTATTGCTCAGATACTATTAGGGTAACTTCTGGTATGTTGCTGTTCCACTTATTGTTTTGTTTATTTATGTCTTTACAAATACATTCAAATACAAAAATGCCTTAATGTTGTTGCAAATGATCTCAAACTCTTTAGAAGAGTTAAGTAATACAATGTTAAATATTGATTTGATTCAGGATGATTTGAATTTTCTATGGTTGTGGCATTTGGAAAATGATTTACAGTTAAATACTCAGATATGGAGTTATCTGGTCAGTAGTATTCTAGATTTATATATAATTGTTGATAGTCATCTCCATTTCATTGATCATAATTGATGATTTTAAGACAGTTGAGATTGGTTACTTTAAAATCTTCAAGATTTATATAGGATGCATGTTTTTTATTCGAATTAATTAGAGATCAATAATTTAGCTGTGGTGATCTTTTACATGTTGTTAATCTGTGTGTACTTTCCAGGTAATTTAGAAATGAAAATACATTCTACATTGAGTAAATTACTTTTTACGATCCAAATTATGGTAAAAATGTGCAAATGTTTAACATATTAAGTAGTAAACTGAAAGAAACAGTATGTGATATCACAAAGTAAATTTATTATTTACTATTATTATCTTTTTTTGTCAATTATCAAATTAGTTGTTGTTTTTAAGTTTGTATCTCTTTGTATGAGCTATTTTTATTCGTGTAATATATATGCTGTTATAAGAGTTTCCCATCAAATGAATGTTTTTTGTATTACTTAATGAGGTACATATATAAAAGACCTCAGACTTCTAAAACATATTTACCTATATTATTTACTATACTTGTTCTGTTTCAAACTTTATTATGCTTTAATTGAATTATGGTATTTCTGTTTTTGCATTCATTTTCCCCTATTCTCAAATATGTATATTATAGTTAGCTTGTATTTTAGGTTATCTCCAAAACGAAAACAGAATGGAAATTATGGAGACACTACTTGAACATTCATCTTATGACAGCAATTATATGGGTCTACACATTGAAGGAGAAACATTAAATCAAAATATGAAAGTTGCTACTGGACCAAGACTTTACAAGTGCGAAATTTGTTTTAAGCAATTTAGTAAAGCAGATAATTTAAAAACACATTCGAGAGTACATACTGGAGAAAAACCTTACACATGTGCAATTTGTTGCAAACAGTTTAGCCAAGCAGTTACCTTAAAAACACATGTGAGATTGCACACTGGAGAAAAACCCTACAAGTGTGATATTTGTTTTCACACATTTTCTCAAGCTAGTGCTCTGAAACAACATATGAGATCACACACTGGAGAACAACCTTACAAATGTGAAGTATGTTTTAAGCAGTTTACTATATCCAGTCACTTGACAAGACATTTGAGAGTGCACACTGGGAAAAACCTCATAAGTGTGAAGTTTGTTTTAAGCAGTTTGGTGAAGCAAGTGATTTGAAAAAACATCTGAGAGTGCATACTGTGGAAAAACTTCATAAATGTGAAATATGTTTCAAGCAATTTTGTGAAGGAAATCATTTGAAAAACCATTTGAGAGTACATACTGGGGAAAAGCCGTACAAGTGTGAAATTTGTTTTAAGCAATGTAGTCAAGCAAGTAACTTGAAAATTCATTTAAGATCACATACTCGAGAAAAACCTTACACATGTGAAATTTGTTGTAAACAGTTTAGCCAAGCAAGTTCATTAAAAACACATGTGAGATTGCACACCGGAGAAAAACCCTACAAGTGTGATATTTGTTTTCACACATTTTCTCAAGCTAGTGCCCTGAAACAACATATAAGATCACACACTGGAGAACAACCTTACAAGTGTGAAGTATGTTTTAAGCAGTTTACTATATCCAGTCACTTGACAAGACATTTGAGAGTGCACACTGGGGAAAAACCTCATAAGTGTGAAGTTTGTTTTAAGCAGTTTCGTGAAGCAAGTGATTTGAAAAAACATCTGAGAGTGCATACTGGGGAAAAACTTCATAAGTGTGAAATATGTTTTAAGAAATTTTGTGAAGGAAGTGATTTGAAAAAACATTTGAGAGTGCATACTGGGGAAAAACCTCATAAGTGTGAAATTTGTTTGAAGCAATTTAGTGAAGCAAGTGATTTGAGAAGACATCTGAGAGTGCACACTGGGGAGAAACTTTACAAGTGTAAAATTTGTTTTAAACAATTTAGCCAATCAGGATCTTTAAAAAAACATTTGAGATTGCACACTGGAGAAAAACCTTACAAGTGTGACATTTGTTTTAACAGTTTTTCTCAAGCTAGTGCTTTGAAACAACATATGAGATCACACACTGGGGATCAACCATAGAAGTGTGGAAGGTGTTTTAAATATGTCTTATAATGAAGGTAATATCTGGTGTATTTGATATGCACATGAAACCACATGACCTATTATATTATAATGCCATGTAAGTGCTTGCTGTTGCCGTTGATATAACGAAAAGTTCAACTGTAGAACAATTTATTAATACATTATATGTAATAATATGGATCATAGTATTGGTTGCATTCCATGTTGCCCAAATACAGGTAGAAATACACACATCAAAAAGGTCTTAGGAACACCACTCTTATTTTACTTTTTTAATAAAAATGTAAACACTTTTTATTAATACATACCATTCGATTTGAAAACTTTGTTCTCTACATATCAAGATATATCATGAAAATTAATCTGTCACTTGCTCTATTTTATTAAGGCAAAAGTGATAGCACATTGAATGCATATGATTAATAGTTTCAAATTGTAAAGCAAAAGTAAGAATTCCCTCAGATCCTCTTTTCCCGGATACTCCCCACCCACATCGCACCATCACCCTCACCACCACCCGCACCCATACTCCCATCTACACCAACTACATCTACACTAACACACTCCATCCCTAAACAGATACAAGACACACACACACAAATTATACTACATTACACTAATTCCAAAGAAGTTTTCTAGCCATAGAAAATTTCTCAGAACCCTTAAAAACCATAATTTCCTTGAAGATATTCTTTTCGATCTGGAAATAGAATTATCCGAAAACCAGGCCATCCTCTACACGACGGATCCTATTCCAAACATAAAAGAGTGGGAAGAGGATCTGCACGTCATCACAGACTACAGTCATATATCCATATCTAAGTGAAAATGCTCAGAATACATAGACATAAACAACTTACACCAAGAACACTCTCCACACCAAAGAAACACACACACACACAGAGCAACCCAACCTTACCCCGTCCACATCCAAAGCAGATACACTCCATTACGAGTGTATCCTCCATTCCCTAATTCCTACAATCACAACCCCTTACGAACACAAAACACAGTCTCACACACATACACCCACCCCACCTCAACAAACAATACTCTCTCAACCTCAAACCGCAAAGACAACCACAATATATCCTAAATGATAGAATCGAGTATATTCTCTCAGATATCTGCCAGCAGATACCCTTCTACTGTCTCATCAAAGACCACAACCTCATCCCCCAATTGGACTCAATTAAAGTCCTCCCATCCCAAAAGGCAGCCTCTGTGCGAACTACCAAACTCCTAGACATCACGGCAAAACTTCGAAAAATCACTGGAGATAAAGCCATCTTAATATCAGCACAAAAATCTAGCAGACCCCATAATCCGCATCCCACTTCAAAAGATCCACAAACCTTTCACTTATCACTCATCGAGGATAACTTATCCGAAATCAGATTTGCTTTTACAAAAGTAGTTCGCATAATTGCTCGTTCCACTAACCAACTCGCCTCATAATAGTTTTCACGGAGTCCGAATTTAAATTCGCCGATGCACTTTCGAACGGTATCAAGATCGAGGGAGAACAGCTACATTGTGAGATTCCAAGATCTAGAAATTCTGTTCCGGTTCGACTAAAATACTGTTCGAAATGTTGCAAAAGCGGACATCTCAGCAACGAATGCTCAGAAAAATCATTCACTTGTCCATTCTGTGGACTAGAGCACAAGTCTACTGTATGCCCCACGATATCTGTGCCAAATGCGTGAACTGTAATGGACCTCATCCGCCTTTTCACCAAGATGTCCACACCGCAATACACAACCAAAAACTACAAACAAACCCAACCCGTATACTCTTATAAACAAATCCTCTCATACGACCTTTCCTCAGATATAAAATCCTTAATCCATTTCACTTCAATGATCCCTTTTTAATGTCTTCCGTGAAAGGAGGAACGACACTATCCGCTATCTCAACCAAATGTTACACCCTATATGGATACGCCATAACCACATCCTGTTTTAATAATCTAATAAACAAAACCTTCACCAACTCCGTACATAAACACACAACACTACACCTACATGCACACCGAAACACACATACCGTAACCCATACACATCATTCAAACAAACACTTACCTACATATATACTTTACCTCCACCCAGCTCACATTCACAAACACATAGAAAAAGCCAACAACACACAACCAATAACTGTACTAACATACCACATTCATAAAGACCTAATCACAACACCAAATAACTAACAGTGAGCACCACACACACACTCCTTAAGAGTCGAATCAAATCACAAGGACAGGAGGAGATTGGTTTTCTGTGGTTTCCCAATCTCATTGCACAACGATACCTGATCCTAGGAGAGGACATAGCCACAGCTATACTCCACGCGTTTTAACCAGAAACAAACAAAAGGCCAACAATCTGAAAGGAACCGTTTTCCCATGGAACTTGTACTTAGTAGCGGACTTGGTTCACACGGCTCCAACAAGACGGAAATAACTCTTCTGACACTCCTGCTTTACAG